GGTGAAATGGGGATTGACTGCTCATGAGTATGGGGCTTCAGTCAATGAGAGGTTCTACAGTGATTGTGGCTCTGGTTACAGAACTCTGCGAATACCCTAAAACCCCACACTTTGTATAGGTTACTTGTAAGATATGTGAATTACACCTCAATAAAGCAATGCTTTTAAAAAGGAGGGGGGATAGAAGGAGCAAGCCTGAAAAGGTCCACTGCCGCCACCACCACCCGCCTCCATGGCGCCGTATTACCCGGGGCCGGGGTGCATGTCCGGGATGTGGGGGTGTCGAACTGTGGTAGTGTGAAGGGACGCGAGGGAATGCGGGACACGGAAATCAGGGGTTTGGGGCTCTGCAGCCAGGCAGTGCGGAGATGCAGGGACTCTGTATGGGGTACCTCGCTAGCGAGGCGGGTTCAGCAGGAGGTGCAGGGGTTAGGGGAGGCGTGGCTACAGGGGTTGCAGAGAGCGCGGCGGTGTGAGGATGCAGGGAAGGAGGCATTTTTCGCCTCCAGGAAGCGCAGAGAGGTGGGACAGGGACTCGGCAGCCAGGGGTCGAGGCGTGCGGGCGCGGACACCCGCTTGGCCACCAGGGGGCGTAGGCAAGCCGGGCGGGCGGCGGGTCCTGGCGTCCGGCAGCCGTTGGGAACCAGCCGTGTCCCGGGGACGCGACCCCTCCTGTCGTCGTTGCGCGGGTCCCTGGCCCCGGGGCGGCCACCCCCAGCTCCCTACTCTGCAGTTGCCTCCGTCTCCAAACTCCCCGTCCTCTCATGGCAAAAACAGAGCTTTCATTATGGGCAAACAGACCAGCAATTGAGAGCGGCTGGCATCCCTCTAAACCCCAACGTCCTTTCCGGGGACCTTGGTTCCGCGTTTCTTCTGGGCATAGTACTTTCGGGGTTCATTAGGGATAGAGACCTCGAGGCGCTGCGGAGACGTTCCAAACACACAGGTACATATCCGGAGGCACGAACAAAATTGGCACATAGAGGACGGTCCAATTTTTGTAAAAACAACAACAAAAAGTCAGTTCTTTATGTGTGTAGCTTTCCTTCACTTGATCAACAGGTATGTTGTAGCCTCGTCGGGCCTTATCTAGGCGCTGTGGGGCCGGCGGGAACCGAGGGCGGAGAGCGAGCATCCGTGGGCACCGCAGGGACTGAACAGGCTCCTGCGCCCGCGCGCCACGGAAAGGGGGGCGGCCGTCCAACAGCCGGTACGCGGGGCAGCTCCCGGCCAGAGGCACTGCGCTTGCACCCTGGACGGCGGGGAGAGCCTCCCAGGAAGAAGGGACCCGAGGCCGTCCCTGCCTGGAGGTTCACAGGTCACAGGCGAGCAGGAGAATAGGGAGACGAGCCAGATGCGAAAAGGCCTGGAAGGTCATGGTCAGATCTCTGGACTTCATCTTAAATGCGCCAGGAAGCCACTGGTGGGGGTGTTGAGCCGATTCTTTTTTAAAATACCGAGAGCCATTCGTGTGTTGAGTGTGCATTAAATAAAAACCAAGAATGAAGCACTATCTATTGAGAATGTGCTTTAGCAAATCATCTCAGAGATTTCGATGAAATCATCTGGAACGTTATTAACTTAACATTAAGTTTTGCATTGTGCACTTTCCTTTTAAGGGGTCATTTGGTAACATTTTCATTGAGCTACACCACCACGTTAATCTCACTGTATAATCACCTCCAGATTGTATTGTTTTGAGTCATTACTCTCCACTGTTTATTCTAAACCGATCTTTCCCTTACCGGAGTTTTTCTTTTTCTTTTTTTCCCCGTTTGCTGGAGTGCTCCCCCGAGTAAGTTTGTCCTCAAAAAGAAGCATCATTCTGAGTCTTTGCAGGTCTAAAGAAAATATCTTTCTGTTGCCTTTATTGGGAATCAGCAGTTTGGTCAGGTAGAGAATTCTTAGGTCAGAAACATCCTCTGGGAAAACTTGGAATTTCTCAGCTTCTGTCATCTTAATGGGTCATAAAAACCTTAGGCCCAAAAAATCATAAGCCGTCTGAATGTGCATCCACAGGAGACTGGTCAAAGTCCTCAGGAAATGGCTAGCCAGTGGGATACTTCCATAAAAAAGAGCAAGGAAGATGTTTCTTTACTGATATGGAAAGATCTCTAAAATACCTTAAGTAAAAAAATTGAAATTAGGTGCATAAGGGGTCTAAGGTATGCTTCCATTTATGTTAGAAGAAGAAGAAGAAGAAGAGGAAGAAGATATACATATATGTGCTGGGAAATGCATAAAATAAAATATCTCTGTAAGGTTACAGAAGAAGCTAGAAACATTTCTTGCCTCAGTACAGAGATATGGGTTAATGGGGGCAAGGCTCCTAGGGAGACTTGTTTAAAAACAAATTATATCTATTGAATTGGAGTCTTGGGGATGTTCTACTGAGAAAAAATATAATGTCTGTGCTCTCCTTTAATTTCACTTAAAAAGCAGAACAAGTATCATGACTAAAAGCGTTGGCACTTTTAGTGCCATCAGCAATCCCCGTTGTGGGCTCCGCTCCCAGGTGTTCTGAGGGCGGGCCAGGAAGCCTAGCACCTCAACCTGATCCCAGGCTGTTCCGTCTGTGGTCTGTGGGCGCCACAGCCTCGCTCCTACCCTCCCCAGGCAGGCGAATTTTGCCTCCCATCTCGCATTGAACTGGACCATTTCTTTCCATGGGAACAATTCAGTCTTCCTCAACCCAGGGAGAGTCTCTTCACTGTTTTCCTTCGGTATTTCTCCTCCCCCTGCTCCCTCTCCCTCTCCAACACCTCCTGTATGTATATTGGCTCTTCTGGATCTCTCCGGCATGCATGACCTTTTCTCTCACAGTTCTAGTTCCTTTATATTTGTTCTTTGAGTCTCAGAGTATCCCAGGAGCTTGTTTTCTAATTTTGTTTCAGTGCTCTGCTCTGATTTTAAACCCTCCGTGGGGGGTTTCGGTGTGGAAATCCTTTTCTCATCCCCAAGAATTCTGTTGACAGGCCACCAGCCTTTGTTTCAATGCGGTGTCTCTCCAGCTATCGCTGAGAAGACAAAGTAGTGTTGGTAGGTTTTTATTTTTTTATTCTTCTAAGTTTTCTGTTGCTGCTGGAGCTAACTCTGTTTCATGGGCGTGGAGGGCTCCTTCACCGACCCTGGGGTATGCACTTGTCACCATGGGGACATTTGGGAGGCTCAGCCAGAAACCACACTCTGGGTTGGGTCAGGATCCCCTGCTTTGGAACATTGTCCTTCTCCCCCAGGGCAGCCTTGTTTTCCCAGGGACAGCAGCCCAAGGGCTTCACTCAGGGGCCCCCGGCAATGCCAAGTTGGTCCCCACAGGTCCCTTACCCGGCTCACTGCGCCCTCCCCACGTGTGGGGGTCAAGCCTGTGCTCCTCGCCCCCGCCCCCGGTGGTCTGACCTTGGAGAGGGACTCCTGGTCGCCCCAGAACTTCTCCTCAGGCATCGAGTGCTTCTCGGATGGCAGTGAGCGCTTGCCCACCTCCAGGGGGTCCAAGCGGGACAGCAGCTGGGCCTGGCGTGCTTCCACAATCGACAGATGGAAGCGGCCATAGCCCCTGACCAGGGCCGCACGGGGCAGCTTCTGGGGCGGATGCTCAATGTCGCCGGAGGGGACCAAAGGCGGCTGTACTTCACACTGCTGTGACACTGTCTTCTTGCCCTTGTCCGGGGCTTCCGGGGAGCCGGGGGCGCAGGGTGGCTCCGAGGCCATCTCAGAGCCCCACCCGCTGGTTTGCCGACACCCAGCACCCCGGCCAGGCCACGAATGAACGGTGGCGCCACGCGCCTGCGCCCAGTGCCCGCTTCCTGGGAACGCCACGCCCTCCCCCTCGCGCTGCGATCTCGTTGCTTCCCCTCCACGCGGAACACGCTTACTCCCAGAAAAACGGGGTTCCGGCCCTGGGCACAAGAGGTATGAGGCCAAGCATGTGAAACGAGCAGCCCCACCCCCAGGGCTTTCCTTTGGTTCTCCCTGGCTCCCTGTCCCAGGACGATTTCTGTGTGCCCTCGGCCTGCGCAGGGGCTCGTGGCGGACCCACCTCACGTGAACAAGAGAGACGTGATCACTAGATCTAGAATGGGCCATGCATGAATTAAGATGCAGCTGTTGGAGGCGGGGACGCATATGAGAGTACGAAGGAGAGATGTGTCCCAATGTCAATGACAATAGGAGAGAACGAATGTCACCTCCAGTCGGGTAGCAGCCCCACAGATAGAAAAAGACTGGGTGGATATTCCACAACATTAAGGGTTGTCATCTCTGGGTGGCTGAAGTGGTCTTCTTCCTTCTTGCTATTTTTAAACTTGTTCAGTTGTTCTGATCTTTCTATGAGGTCACTTTGAATGCCAGCACTTTTCTCAAAAGTCTGGTTAGTGCAGATGAGGCAGCCTGGGAGGGGGGCCCCAGGGCTGCAGAGCAAGGACCTGATGCCTGTGTGACCCGGGCTGTGGGCGCACACTCCCCAGCTCTTGGTATGGGAGACTATGTGGGACACTTGGGGGATGTCCACCTGGAGAGGCTGAGGCCACCTGCCAGGACCCTGATGCTGGGCCCCCTGCTGGACTCCCAGCCACCACTCTCAACTAGGAGAGGCAAGAGCCACGTGGGGACCACCTCCCTCTCACATGAGTCCTTATGTAAGGCCAAATGTCTTTATCTGGACTCGGCTTTCCCCATTAACAAAACTAGAGAAAACCCTTCACTTTTCATTTCTTTTTTAAAGTTTCAGGAAATAAAAAAAAAAATCAAAAAGAAAATAGAAAAATTCCATTTTAATTAAACTGTACAGTCTGAATTATTTCCTCTGACACTAACTGAGGTTAAAAATAGAAATCAATTTCTGCAACCTTCCAAGGCAGCCTTTGAAATGTCAAGGTTTTAAAAATTATTTTACAGCATGAATTTACATATAAATACAATCTGTACAATGTATTAACTTAGCAATCAACGAGCTTCCATCATGGAGGAGATCTGGTACTGGGACAGACCAGGGCAGAATTCAATTACTGCCGCCTTAGTGGAAGACTTTTCAGCCTAGAAAAGGAAATAAAAGAGAGAGGACAATTAGATAAGAACCGAAAGCCAGATAGCTCCTTGGGGGCCGAGCACACCAGACCTCCCCAACTCACAGTGGTACATCTGGACTCATAGAATACAGAGGACGACCACAGACCGTGAAACCATCATTTATTTTTATTTTTTTTAATTTGAGAAAGAGAGCACAAGCAGGAGAGAGGGAGGGAGAGAGCGAGCGAGCGAGAGAGGGAGAATCTTAAGCAGGTTCCACACTCAGCTCGGAACCCGATGCAGGGCTCGATCCCATGACCCTGGGATCATAACCTGAGCTGAAATCAAGAATCAGATGCTCAACCGACTGAACCACCCAGGCGGCCCTAGAAGCATCAGTTTAATCTGCATTCTTAAAAATGCTTCTCTGTCACCCCCAAATACACAGGGAGACTCAGTCTCCACATCTCATATTAGGACCTGTTTATAAAAGCAAGTTCTAATCCTACTCAACCTAGCTCCTGTAGGACCTTTGGGAAGGAGCTGAAAAAAAACACCATGTTTGCTCTAGGGCCAAGGGCTCCTGAGCTGGCAGTCTTAAATCTCAGCTTCATGCACACAAGGGTGTTCATTGACTAGAGCTGGGTCACACTGGCTCTAGATCCTTGCTCAACAGCCCCAAAGTGAAAAACCACATGTCCGCAACAACAGAAGAGATGAACGCTCTGGTGTGGTCACATAAAGGGATACTCCCTGGCAATGAGGACGAACGAGCTGCTGCAGCTGATAACATGGAGGACTCTCACAAACCAATTCAAGAGTCATACATGGTTCCTTTAAGTAAAGTCCAAGCAGTAGAGTAACCAACGGTGACAGAAGAGGGGCTACCTCTGGGAATGCGGGTAGGCATGCCAAGTGGGAGGAGACACGAGCAGCTGTGGGGTGCTGGCATATCGCTTGATCAGGCGGTGAGAATGCATGGAGCTGGAAGGTGATGGTCTGTGCACATATATGTATGTGTGTGCACTAAGGTGTTTGCTTAGCTGTATGATTCTACGTCTGTGAAATTCTAGAATGGGCAAGACAATCTGATAGAGACAGGAAGGAGAGGGGTGTCTCACGGGAAAGGGGTGGAGGCGGCAGACCACGGTTCCACCCAGAACCAAGTGGCACTGTCACAGCAGAAAATCATCAGGGCCCTTACCAAGAGTAACACTCCATGCCAGGTGCTGGGGATGCAAATGAGACCCCTGTGGTCATGAGCCTCCCACTGTCCTTTGCAGAAGACAGGGGTGAGGCACAAAGGGTGGAGGGCCCTCGGGGCTCCAAGGTTAGAACCCAGGAGGCTCGGTGGGGAGGAGCGGGGGGACTAAACCTTTAACAACCACAAGAGTGAAGATTTAAGTGCACTCCACACCTCTGACCCTCCCTTCCTTGGAGAGAGGTGCTCTCAGGTGTGGGAAGAACCCCTCCAGCCCTCTTCCTGTGCATGGATGTACATAAATGTACACACAGGGAAATCCAAAGGCCAGAGGACATTTTAACATTTACAGCACTGCCTGGATATACCGTTCTGCAGCTTTTGATCTCCTGATGGTAAGTTTTAGATGCCAATCAGCACACAGCTCTCTGCCCACGTTTTCTGATTGCTGCACAGTGTCCCACAGCAAGCCCTGCTCCCGCCCTCCCACCACGCCCTCCAGATGGGCACTGAGGGGTGTCCCCGCAGGAATGACTCATCAGACGGCCCCAAATCCTCAAGATTTGGCCCCAAATCGTCAAGGCCTAACCTCCCTGGGCCTGGCCGTCCCACCTGGGAGATGAGGGGACCCACGTGTCTGCCTCGCTGGAGTGCATGATGAAATGAGCAATGCCCGTGGTGTGGGCACCTTACCATCACGCCGGCATGCAGGAGGAGAGGGAAATGTAAGTTGGCACAGCCACTTCAGGAGGCTCGGGATTAAACTGAAATGCTTATCTCTGTACTTTTGAATCATGAGAATGTGCTGTCCGTTCTGAAGAAGTAAATGGAAACGAACAAGGGGGTGGCACTTGTATTTCCAGACAGCAAGATACACCTACAAGGCCACAGTGGTTAATGCAGGTGGGTAGAACAACATCAAATGGCTAAGAAACCGGAGTAGAGAACGGAGGAGGAGGCCCTCGGAGGCATGGGGACTAAGAACAGGACCAAGCTACTCTTCCTTTAATGAGCTGGTTCAGCAGGTAGGGCTGACATGGCCAGGGCTCACCTGTGCCTCCCCTTTCATCCCGGGCCCGCAGATGGACGTCCCCTTCCTGGCTCCGTGGGGGCCAGGCTGTGCAGCAGTGAAGACTGTGACATCCAGATAGGACCGCAACAACCCCCAGCGCCACCCTCCACCCGTCCCCTCCTAGGAGGGGCATGAACCGAAGTGGAACACACTGGGGTCCTGAGTACCTTTCTTGGTTTTCTTTCTTTCTTTTTTCTTTCTTTTTCGATATCCATATTGATCATTTCTGACGTTTGCCTCTCAGCAAATACACAGAGTTTCCAACAAGCCTTGGAAGGTTTCTGAAAACCAGTGCCCCCCACTGCCTACCTTCTCAGCAGTTCCTGGGGTGACAGGTCTACAGTCCCTTCTTCACCACTCGGGCTGTCGCTGCTGTCTGTGCTCTCAGAACTACTGCTCTTCTCTGGTTTTTTATTCTTTTGCTTGCCTTTGTGTTTGTGCTTCCGGTGTTTCTTCTTCTGAAAAAGAAAAGGGCGGTGGGGGAGGGGGGACAACTGGGCGTTTCCCTCCCTGACTGGGCACAATGACAGGCTAAGGAGGCATTTGGTTGCCGGAGTCATTCAAAAACAAAGACAAAACATCTCATTTGGAGCGAGCTTCAGTCTACGATGGGACAGACCAGACCACACAGCTGCGCGCACACACTCTGAACTGACCCTCTGGCAACAGACACGGCAGAACCGGGCAGATGTGGTCAGGATGCCATCTTGACACTTAGCCCCCATCTGTCTCCTCCAAGGTTGATGAGGGAGACAAAGGCAAGAGAAACGTAGCTGCAATGAAATCTCCCTACAGCTTGCAGCCCACTGATACACACCACCAATAGAAACGTGCAGAGTGTGACCTTCCTCGAGGAACTCGTGGCTGCCTTAGTGCCTTCACGTTGATGTTCGATTAAAGACTAAAAGTCACCTTATCTTAACAGCAGCTAGCCCCTCAAGGTCCTGAAAGCCTTGCTTCCAAATTCCTTAGAAACTTACTTAAAAGTATACAATCAGTCACTCTCACAACCCCGGTGCAGCTTTCTGCCTTGGGTCCTGTCCCCGTGCTTTAATAAAATCACCTTTTTGCACCAAAAGCGTTTCAAGAATTCTTTCTCAGCCGTTTGCTCATGAACCGCGCTTCACCATGTCATCAAGGTGACCCCTGCCACCTCGCATGAACCTGACCGGGGCCACATTGTTAGGCACATGTGATAAACTACGTATCAGGATGGTACAATGAGAAGAAGCACAATGAAGAAAACAGTAGAAGGTCAGAGAACAGCAGATCCGCTGGTAAGAAACGAATGAATTTGGTTTTCAAACCTGGCAGCACCAGTTTTTCCCTGTCGGATGTTCATCATCTTCCCTGCTCAGGAATCCTTTCTTTCTGGTAGCCAATCACGGAGCTGTTTGTTCTCAATTCCACCACTGTCCTGACCACTCTGGGGCCCAACACTAACATCAACTGAATTAAAAGCCTGTGCCATCGCTGAAAACACACGGATGGTGGGACAGGGGTGTCAAAGTGAAAGCACACGCTACTCTTCCAAAGTTCCTTGACCTCCAACAGCAAGCTTTGAACCCAACTCTCTATCCATAATGATGACAGAGCAGTTGAGGAAAAATGTTCAAAAGAATATCTTCATTTGATATTGAACGAGTAACCAATTAACACTACTTTATTAAGATTCAACCATTACTCCCAAGTATTTAAATGTCCTTTCCCCCAACTTTTTCATGTTCACAAATAAAATGTTTCTAAAGTAGAACTGAATAGTTAAAATATTCTGCCTGAAAGAAAAACAAAATTCCTGCAAACTGAAGGCGTACATGAGTGTCCACATTCCTGCCAAGGTATGGAGAGGCCTGTGTGCCCCCACCTCGGCCACCAGATATTCTCCCTGCCTGGCTTCCCCTGTCACCCCTGGGGGCTTGTCTGCATGACAGAAGCAGGGACATCAGAGCCTGCATCCTGTCCAAGACACCCGGAAGTTACTTACCTTCTCTTTCCTCCGTCTGTGCTCTTTCTTGGTCTTACGTTTTTCTTTGTTTTTTTTATGTTTCTCTTTCTGAGGTGCCTCGAGTTTCTGACGAACATCTGAAACACAAACGTAACATGTGAACTATTGGGGAAAATAAAGCCCAAATTGTTGAACAAGGAACGTGACGTAGGTGGAATGTTTAGCATTAAGGTGGGACTCCTGCCCTGCCTCGCTGACAAACGGGTTACCTGTCACCTGGTAGCTCTATATTTAGAAACTGCCAGAAGCCTCAATGCAAGACTTGTGTGAGCCAACCCGTATCTTGCCACAGCCTTATCTGCCAGATGCGTCAGATGGAGATAGAGTCGGGAGAGAAAAAGCACAAGCCTGTTTTAATTTAACATCCTCAGGCAGCTCAGGAGACAGACCAGAGTCTGAACCTCAGCTTGGCTGCCAGCTTCTCCCTGACCTTCCGCACGTTGCTCAGCCTCTCCAAGCCTCAGTTTCCCCATCCGTGAATAGTGACAGGAAGAATCCTTGCTCTCTCGGGGACACAGAGGATTGGACAGAACCGTGCACATGAATCCCGTAGCCCAGAATCTGGCACATAAACGTCAGCTCCCCTCACATCATCCTCCCTTTACTAAAGCACATTACATATGCGTTTTATCTTCTAAGTTGAAAAAAACCCTAGAAAATTAGCATGAAAACAACATAATGTACATAATCATTAAAAAGGACCAAGCAAGTAGCATACACTTAAATTCTCCACCTCCAAACTCTGACAACAATGTTTTCATAGGTCATCAACCTCCAGGTCACCAAACCAACAAAAATCAATTTTTTCCACCTAAAGAAAAGTTTGAAGGGAATTCAGAAGAATGGATATTTTCCAAATCTAGGTAACAGGTGCCTGTAACTCTCTGGTCCTATTGTTTGGTCAGATATTTTAAAATCTGACTCCTCCAAACTTTTGTTTTTTAAGTGCTTGTTTTTGAAAAACCATTCCCCCTCAAAAACCCACAGACAAAATTAAGTAATTAACTATTACAAGGATATCAAGGACGGTCTGGGAAATGGGAATAAATAACTTTGCTCTTAAATTCCAATACACTTACTTTAAGCTGGAGATCTGAACTAAAGCAAATAATAAATACATTCATTTCAATTTTTCAAAACATCACACTTTTTATCACCTCTTTGAAGGCTGGCTTAATTAATCAAACGAATATTTATACGTGGGTGCTATAGGAAACTATGAAGCAGATAACAGAATTATGTCATTTATATACCTGGGCCAGTTTATCAGATGTTTGTTAACCTGGCCTTCAAGGAGATGATAATCCAGTCTAAACATTTTAACAAAACTGTCCATTTAAGACACTGAATGGAAGTTGTTGACCGATACTGGGGACGGAGGATGGACTGTGTTTACTTCTGAAAGAATTACTTTTGCTTTATTTGCTACATCAGCCAACACAGTAAAAGTCTCAGACTACCCTTCTCCCTACAATTCCTCACCCATCTCTGCGTCCTAGATTTTTACTTTTTTATTTCTGTAAGTGACACCATTTGAGATACTCGGGACTCTATTATATATAACGGAAAGTTGAAGGAAAAAAAAGTTTAAAGGTCTCAGGCTGTAAAGCAACAATTCTCATTTAGGCACTAGGTGGAAGTAATGAGATGCAAAATGTAGCTAAGAACAAAAAAACCAGAAACAAACATATGTACAGTTGATCTCAAACAACACAAGTTTGAGCCGTGCAGTTCCACCATGGTGGGTTTTTTTTTTTTTTTAAGTAAATCCAGTACAGTAAGGTAAACATGTTTTCTCTTATGATTTTCTTAATAACAGTTGCTTTTCTCTAGCTTACTTTACTGTAAGAACACAAGATATAATACATATAACATATATAATAAATGTTAATCAACTGTTCATGTCATCCGTAAGGCTTCCGGGCCACATTTGGGTATTAACAGTTAAGTTTTGGGGGGAGTCCAAAGCTATATGCAGATTTTCAACTGTGCATGGTGTTGGCGCCCCTAAACCCCGCCTTGCTCACAGGTCAACTGTAGGTATTTGGTCAGCCTCGTGTTGGCCTAGGTGGGCGGAAGTAATAACACGGTTAGAGCTGTCACAGCTCAGGGGAGACGCTGGTGCCGATGCAAACGGGTGAACCAAGGAGCTCTCAACTCACTGGGGCAGAAGACGGGAGGCAGCCGTGGGCCGAACGCTTCTCTTTCATCTATCTGCATCTTTTGTATCGGAAAGGAAGGTGCGGGCTCCTGGGCTACCGGCTCGCTAGCTGAAAAACACCAGGGTATTAATTTTGTCTATTTATGTTAGTATTAATTAATATTTTACCAATATTAACCTGTTTGAATCTTTAATTAAGACCTGTTGCCACCAGATAATGTAAGCTTTTCTTTACCACTTTGCTGAGGATACAGCAGGCAAACCTGACCTCCAACCTCGGGGACATTTGAGCTGGGAATTCAGTCGCACGAGGCACCTGCAAGCAAGTGCGCCAGTGGCGACAACAGAGGGGCATATACAGCACACGCTCCAGGTCACCTCACTGAGACCTCAAGGGTTGCAAGATGTCCTCGAGGAAAGATATCCTCAGAGAAGAATAAAAACTTACAAACAGGGATCTAAGACAGTCCCAACTCAGAAAGCTTAATTTCATTCAAAATAAATGATCAAAGAGGGGGAAAACTGAATATAAACACACTACCATGTTCACATTGGTAATGCCATTTTTTAAACAGATGACTATGTTTTCATACAGAGGAAAGAAAAATGCAAAAAACCTGGAAAAGCATGCATCAAAGTATTGACAATGTTTATCTCGGGGAAGCGGGATTCCAAGGATCCTGGGCTTTCCACAGTTCTATATTTGTAAACTTTTACAGTTCAAGTATATATCGCTTTGTAATAACAAACAAGCTGGTTACTTTTTTCCACAGAAATAGGAAACAGCCATTTGCAAACTGCCTAAGAATAAGCGATGTTTTAGATCTCTATGTAACTTCTTGGTTCAAGGCCCTCAAAACTTATACCCAAGTCTACCACACACTGTCGGGGCTAGAAACCCCT